TAGGGTGTCTTCTCTTAGATTCTTCTTGCTCTTACCTTGCTGTTGCCAGCGGCAGGTGTGGAGGACATTTCGTGGCACTCGCCCCCCACCCCCGTTAAGTGTGGATTCCCAGTGATTCACGCATCAGCCTGCCAACAACCCCAGACAAGAATTTCCTGCTTGCCAGACCCAGCCACAGTTCCCTGTTGGCCAGCCTAGGCAGCTTGTACCCTGAGGGGTATTTCCTGCAGGCTCAGCTGGTGTGGAACAGCCCCAGCCCAGGGCCAGTGAACTTCCCCACCATCAGGGGAGCCACAACTACACCTTCTCCAAGAAGGTCTGAATCCCAGCCTTGGGGAGGGGCCCTCTTCAGAGTTTGCTTCTTCCTTGGGTATTTTCCCTCAGCCACAGGGTATTCTTCAGAATTCTCTCTACCTCCTTATAGCTAACCTCCTGTTACAGTTAATAATTCTTTTAACTTTCTCTGTTCAAATTGCTTTGTGGTTTCCAGGCTCCTGATGGGGACATGACTGATATTCCTGCTTGCTTGCTGGGTGACCACGGGTAAATCCCTTAACCCCTCTGAGCCTCCCATGTGCAGTGAGGATAATAGCAGTACCACCTGCCTCAGAGAGTTGTAGTAGGATTAAATGACGCAATGCATGTAAAGTGCTTAGTAGAGGAACTGACATAATATTTTTTGTTTCTTGCTGGAAGATGAAGAGGTGGGTTGGGGGATAGGAAGGGGCAATGAAAGAGACTACCAGATTAAAGGAATTTTAAAAAGCATTATTAATGAAGCCACCTGGGAGACTAGATGCGAGTAAGGGCTGAATAAAATGAGTTCTCCCTCCCTTTTTAAAGATGGCCAGCTTGGGAAACAGATTTTGCCATCACTGAAATCGCTTGTCAGAGATCTATGGCAGGTATTGGAATGGAGCCCACAGAAAGTTATATTATAGCTTAAAACAATAGAACAGAGAACAGCATCTGGCTGTCACTTTATTACTCACAATATCCCATTAAGGATATAAAAACCTTGAACAGACCATCCCAAAATAGAGCAGCTTCATGGACTCTTTCCATCTCGCAGTTCAACAAGGATAATCTGACTTGCCTGCTCATCTGCCCATGATACTGGGGAAGTGATCAGATTTCTCATGTTGCTTATGGGGGACTCCATCTGCCCAAACAAGGATCAGAACTCTGTCTCCCTCTCTCTCTCTACCTCATTTTTCCTTCTTTCCTTCTTAGAGGTAGGGCAAGAATAGGAAAGAAAATACACTATTTTTAAAGAATGTTTTTGCTTCCTTTCTTGGACTTTAAATGTTCTTCGTGCAAAGACTATCTTACAAATGTAGAATCTTGGTTTGAGTTTTGGAAATAACCCAACTTATCGCCATAAACTTTGATATTGATTTTAATTAGACTCTTTTTGGTATAAAATTGGTGTGTGTATGCGTATTGTGTGTGTGTGTGTGTGTCTGTTGTGTGTGTGTGTATCCATGGGAAAGATTTTTGTTCCAGGATTTATGCTCCTCTTATCCATAACTCAGCTCCTAAAACAAACTCTCACTCTTCAAGCTGTCCCTTCTGACAGCTCGATCATTTCTGGCTGTTTCTGTTCAAACATTTAGAATACTCAGGAATAGGTCCTTGTCCCCACCCTGATTAAATGCTGCTCTTTAATATTTCTAGGAGAGAAAGCAGGAATTTCACCAAATGTCTTTAGATTTGCACATGCTTGGATACACAGGCCACTCATGTAACTCTACAAAGAAGGGACATATGGTCTCCTGTGGAGGACTCTTTATTACATAAATATATTTACACCAAGATATACACACACAGGAATGCCCATCTATGTATCCAGGTGTAGTAGAGAGTAGTCTAAGGAAGACATATGGGTCACTGGTTCGAACTGAATCTCATGGTACCTTTTTTCAATCATCAGCTTCTATGTTCTCTGGGTTAGCAAAGGTCAGGAAGACTTGTTCCAGTGTTATCTGACTGATGGAATAGTCTTCTAAATTGAATTGCTCTTTAGCTTCCTCCAAAATACCAAACACCTTTAACAACAACAACAAAGTGCAATTACAATTACAGTCTTCCCTCCAGCCCCCAACCCAGATAAACCTCTCCTCCACTTCCTCCAACTCCTGACACGTTAATGTTGGAGGACAAAAGGCGGAGAAGGAGGAGAGGAGAAAATAGACAGAATAGATAATTGAGCTTCTGAGAGGAAGCAGTAGAACCCCCATTCTCTTGAAGGACGTGGACAAAAAATGGGGTTTAGAGGTGGAAATTTGAAGCAATTAAACTCTAGGGACCGTTGAAAAGTGACCTAAAGTATCTGTTCCTACTATAACACCAGGCTCTCATTCCATATGACTAAATCCCAAATACTTCCTATCATTAGTGCTCTCTTAACATGTAATGTTAGAAAGGCATGATTTCTACAATCACCTTTCCCCAGCTATTGTCCTTGCTGGGAATGTAGAAGTTAAGGATCCCTTGATTCTCATGTTTTAATTCACTACCTGAAAAAGGAAAGAGAGGATAAATGAATAATCTTACAGAATTCATTTTAAATTGCCAAAATATTGCTATATCAACTTAATTATACATAATAGAGTAGTGAATAGATGTGGCTGATAAAAAAGGGACATAATCCAGAAGCCCACCAGTTTAGTATACATGCCATGGTTAATTTTTTCAGCAGATTTATTCCTGCTGAAGTAGGCTTTGTTTTCTGGAGTTCATAGCAATTATTGAAGACACGCTTTCAGACACACCAAAAAAATGCCCAATGGATGAAACCTGGGCCTTCTAAAATTCTAATGTTTACTATAATACTTTATCCTAAACACAGTGCTGAGAATATGAGCTGGGAGGATTTTCACTCTGGTTGTGTATGTATGCATGTACAGTGTGTTTGCTGGGAAGGAGAGCAGGAAAAGGCCTGCTTGCTATTCTCATGTTCACACGCCATGTGAAAGATGAAATCATACATATAAAGTCAGGCTGGGTGTTCTCGTTTCTTTTCCACCACTGGATTCTTATCCAGTGGTGGAATAAGAAGGAAGAGGGTGGTATCCATTCCAAATTTAGAACGAACAGATGTGTTTATACTTATCATTGCATATTTGCAAATTATTGCAAACTAAATTAATTGGGATTAAAAATGCTTTAGAAATATATGTTAAAGTAATCAAACAAGAAAGCCATTAGACTGATTCCTAGGTAGCCTACATAAGTATATCGAAACCCAAGCCAGAGTAAATGCATTTGAATCTGAAAAAATGAAATTTAAGAACAACCAACTACAAAGAGCCAACTAGGTTTTCTCAAATAAGGCAACTGCTTAAGCTATAGCCAAATATTTCCTCGCTTAAATCCCACGTCTTTTCTATAAAAACCTCTCCCCTAGCTCCTGTCTTGGAGCTCTCTTAACCACCTTTGGTTTGGTGCTTCCCAATTCAAATTGATGTATGCACTAATAAACTCTTGAAAATTTTAATATGCATCACTTTATCTTTTAACGGTTCTGGTAGAAGAAGCAGGATTCAAAAGAACCCCAATGGCCCTAGAAGCAAAGAGCAACCAGGTATAGATACTTGCTGGCCCCTTTGTGCTCACTGCTTTCTCACTGCACCTGAATGTCTTGGGTAAATCCCTCTCGGATATCTGAGTTCCTAGCTTTTGTGTCATGAGCTGTCTGACTTGATTTGAGCTTTTCTTTTACCAAACTGGGTCAGGAGTTGGACTGGGTCTGACTTAAACATTATTGGCTCTCTGACTTCAACCAAACTGGGTCTGGGGTCAGACTGAATCCAACTTAAACTGGACTGAGTTCAGTAGGAGGCATCAGGTAGGTAAAATTTTTTTTAAGGAAAGTAGAGGATAAAATGGGTTCCTCCAAGTCCAAAGAGTCTGGGACTCCTCCATCTGGGACTCCTCCTAACTATATGTATAAAAATTATGGGCCCATGTATTTTTATCCATTCTGCCAATCTCTATGTTTTAATTGGAGAGTTTAGTAAAGTTTAAATCTTTTTCTATCCTTCATTTCTTTTCTTTTTTTTTAAAGATTTTATTTATTTATTTTTCCCCCAAAGCCCCAGTACATAGTTGTCTGTCATAGCTGCACATCCTTCTAGTTGCTGTATGTGGGATGCGGCCTCAGCATGGCTGGAGGAGTGGTGCCTTGGTGCGCACCCGGGATCCGAACCCCGGGCCGCCAGCAGCGGAGAGCACGCACTTAACCGCTAAGCCACGGGGCCGGCCCTATCCTTCATTTCTGAAGGACAGCTCTGCCAGGTATATTATTCTTGGTTGACTGATTATTTTCTCTCAACATTTTGAATATATAATCCCACTCTCTCTTGGCCTGCAAAGTTTCTGTTGAGAAATCTGTTGGTAGTCTTAAGGGGGTTTGCTTGTGTGATGAGTCACTTTTCTCTTGCTGCTTTCAAAATTCTCTTTTGTCTTTGACTTTTGACATTTATTACAATGTGTCTCAGTTAGCCCTTTTCAAGTTCAATTATTTTGGGTCCTTTGGCCTCATGAATCTGGATATCCATGTCTCTCCCCAAGTTTGGGAAGTTTTCAGCCATTATTACTTTAAATAGGCTTTCTGTCGCTTTCTCTTTCTCTTCTCCTGCTGACATTCCCATAATGTATGTATTGTTTCTGTTAAAAGTCCCATAAGTCCTGTAGGCTGTCTTCACTTTATTTCATTTTTTTTCTTTTTGCATCTCTGACTGGATAATTTCAAATGACCTATCTCATAGTTCATTGATTCTTTCTTCTGCTTGGTTGAGTGCTGTTGAAGTTTTCTATCGAATTCTTCAGTTCAGTCATTGTATTCTTCAACTCTAGGATTAGGGTTTGGGTTTGTTTTGTTTTTTTTTTGATCGTGTCCATTTCTTCATTGTATTTTTCATTTTGTTCATGCATTGTACAACTAATTTCACTTAGTTGTCTTTCTGTGTGTTCTTGTAGTTCACTAAACCTCTTTAAAAGGATTACTCTAAACTCTGTCAGACAGTTCATAGATCTCCATTTCTTTAGGGTCAGTTATTGGAGTTTTATTAGTTTCTTTTGGTGGTGTTATGTTTACCTGATTCTCTGTGGTCCTTGATTCCTTGCATTTGTATCTGTACATTCCTTTTCTAGAGTTTACAGGTTTTCTTCAGCAAGGACAGACCTTCAGCTGTCAGCTCAGCTTGAGGTTCTGGACTATTTGTGTGGTAGCATCCATGGGCCAGCAGTGCCTGTTATAAGGATCTTGCTTTGGGCAAGTCCACTGCTTGTGCTATGAGGTCAGGGTTGGGGTGCTGTCTGGGTTCTGTGGTTGGACTGGCCTGCCAGCTGAGCTCTGAGTTCAAGCAGGGCTGCTGGGTAGGCTCCCTGATTGAGCATGGCTACTAGCTGTGCTCCACAGTCTAGTGGTGTCACTAGCTGGGTTCTGTAATCATCTCTGGACAGTTGAGGTATAGGCTGCATTCCCTGGCAGGGTGGTACCACTGTTTAGACTCCACGACTGGAAAGGGCTATGGGCTGAGCACAATCGCTCTTGGTCAGTGGAGCCTCAGGCTGTGCTCCCCAATCGGATGGTGCCACTGTCTGTTCTCTGTGTTCAGGTGGGGCTGCAGGAAGGGCTTCACTGTCAGATAAGGCCTCAAGCTGTGCTCTGTGATTATGTGGGGATGCAGACTGTGTCCCCAAGTTGGGCAGGACTGCAGGCTGGCCTTCACAATCTAGTAGGCTGCTGGCTGTGCTTCATTGTTGCACAACGTCAAAGGTTGGGCCACTTTTCAGGAGGGCCTCCAGTTATATCCCGGGTTGTGTGGGGCTAGAGACTCTGCTCCGCAGTTGGGCAGAGTCACTCTCTGGGCTCTGTCTTCAGATTTGGCAGGAGGCTATGCTCCTTGACTGGGTGGGTTCACTGGCTGGGTTCCCTGCCTGGGTGAGTCTGTAGGCTGTGTTCAGCAATTGGGAAAGGTTGTAGTCTGGGCTCTGCCGGTGGTTAGCACCATAGGCTAGGTTCCAAGGCTGTCCAAGATCACTGTTCATGCTCCCGGGTTATGTGGGGCCAGAGGCTATACTTAACAGTTGGGCAGGACTGTTGGTTTGGCTCCCTGCCCAAGTGTGACTGTAGGATAGGCTCCATAGTTGCCCGGATTCACTGGGCAGGTGGATCACAGGCTATGCTCAGCAGTTGGGTGGGGCTGTGAATTTGCTTCCCTTCCCAGGTGGGGTGATAGAATGGTCTCACCATTCTATCAAGCTAGTATGGCTTGTTGGCTGAGGACCTAAATCAGAGCAGAACTGCCCATCAAACTCCCTCATCAGATAGGGCCAACAGCTCATTTCTGCAAATGGGCAGAGCTGCTGGCTGGTATCTCTGACCAGGCACTGATAAAAGAGCAGCTGTAGGATGGACTCTAGGCTTCCTGGGTTCTTTGGCCAGGCTTCCTGGTTGGGTGGGATTGGAGGCTACCTTCAGCAGTTGGTCGGGGCTTTGAATTTGCTTCTCTGGCCAGTGGGGCTGTGGAATGGGCTCCACACCTGGTACGGCTTGTTGGCTGGGGACCCAAATCAGGCAGAAGTGCGCTCAGAGTTCCCTGGCTAGATGCAGCCACTAGCCCAGCTCGGCAGGTAGACAGAGCCACTGGCTGGGATCTCTGCTCTACTGCCATGCTGCTGCAAGAAAGAACATAGTCTGCCAAGATATGAGTGCTGGTTGTTTTAAGCACCACCCCTCTTCTCTGTCTTTATTTGATCCCCAGTGGTAAAGCCCCACAGATTCCCCCAGTGATCCCCGTGAGGTGAGATCCAAGTGTGTCTCCCAGGAAGTGTCCCACAACACTGGGGGACCTTTGGCTCTCTCTTTCCCCTGGAGAAACTGTAGGCCTGGGGGGACCTTCTTGGCGTGCCAGCCTGGGGAAGGGGTAATGTGGTCAGTGTGTAGCTGCTCCTCTTACCCTTCTATTTAGTCCTTCTCGGTCTCTGTTGTCCAGGAGGCTGCTTCAGTCTCACGCCTGGGTTCTGGGATTTTCACAATGGTGTCCCGTCTATGCATAGTTGCTAGTTGGTCTTGTAAGCAGGACTGAAGTCAGGAATGACCTATGTAGCCATCTTGATGACATCACTCTCAGTGTTATAAGTTTCATTCATGTTATTGTATATAGTTATAATTCATTCAATTTTTCCTTCTGTACAATACCCTGGTGTATGATTATTCCATAATTTATTCTCCATTCAGCTGCTGATAGACATATGGATTGCTCCTAGAGTCTGAATATTGTGACTATCACTGATTTAAATATTATTTTACTTATCTCATGGCACAGATGGATGCAAGTATCTAAGGTATATACCTAGAGGTGGAATTTGGGGGCCATTGCTCTTTTTAATATTGGTTTTACCAACTTTGTTTTCACCTCAGAGGTTCAGAAAACTGGAAAGAGTGTCACTCCCACACTTCTAAACAACAAAATGTCGGACAAATTGCAAATTAATGGCTTTACTTTAGCTCATCAGTTTTGTGATTGGGCAAACATCGGACAAACAACTAATGAATATGTGGGGAGAGACAGGTGCCTGCAGGGAGAAACAGGATGAGAGCATTTGCTTATACAAGGCAGACACTCATGGGTGCCATGTAAGCTAGTAAGAAGATTTAGCTAAAAAATTTTTAATGAATTACTAAAAGTTGAGTATTGGGCTAGCATGAGATCTAGACTATTTGTTTTATTTTTAACCTCTCTCATTCAGTTTGCTTTAGTATTGGTTTTTATATACAGCAGAGATTTGGATTTTGCTTGTTAGGCAATCTGAAAAAATAATTTTTTTTCATTTAGTCAGAAAGTCAAGCCTTTTTATATTTATTAATAGTACCAATATGTTCTATAGCAGTTCCCCCACATTGTTCTGTAATTACATATAAAAGGAAATGTATAGATCTACAAACATGCATAAATATAAACACATACACATATTCTCAGTATGTGGTTGGTTCTATTTCTTGTTATATTTGTGATATAGGAAGGTTTGTGTTTTTTTTCTAATGGATAACTTCCTACTAATATCCTTATACTAATAGCCATAATCCCATCTTTTTGAGATACTGTTTTTTGGTTCCCTATTACAAACACGTTCACTATGCCAGTAACCTCTTAGGTTGCCTCCACCAACATGTAATTTAAAGTAATATTCTATTGTTCCCAGCTAATATCTAAAATACACTAAGTAATCATATTTAACTTTTTATATATTCTTTGCCTTCTTCCTTTCATTTTTTGTATTGTATTATACATATATTTCTAAAATATATATCAATTATGTGATATATTATCACACAGATATCCTTCATTTAGCCCTAGATCTAGAGTTACATATATTGAATGCTCACCATTAGTTTTATGCAGAAGCTTCTCCAATCATTTCTTAGTTGATCTGAAATTTTTTATTTGTATATTCTTTAGGAAGGGCTAATGGGAACAATATTCCCTAAGTTCTTATGTGTTCATGACTCTTTGTGACTTTTAATCTTGCAAGTCATTTTTGGCAGGAGGTAAAAACCTTGCTTGTATTTTACTTTCATTGAGTATCTCAAATATATTACATCCTCTCCTGGTATAAACTTTCTTGTTAAAAATCCTATGCTCAATCTGATTTTATTTCCCTTATATATGACTTGCCTTTTTGTCGGCATTTCCAAAGATCCCCCCCTCTTACTTTATTATTAAAGTGCAATCATTATATTAAAATATTCCTTGGTGTTAATGATTTGAGGTCAATTTGAGGTGTCTAGTTGCCTTTTCAACAAGTAGGTTTCTCTTATTTTATTTCAAGAAATTTTCTTGATAGTTCTTAGTATTTATTCTATTCTGTGGCTATTTTTTTCTTCTTTGTGGACTACTTTTGTAGTTGCGTTGGATTAACATTCCTTGCTTCTCTCTTACTTTCTTTCGAATGCTTATCTACATTTCCGTTTGGTGTTTTCCTATTTTTCTCCTTTCCAATCTCCATTTCCCTTGTACTTTCTATATATATTGTCTATTTGCTCTCGACAAAATATTTCTGAAATGTTTACCTAAAAAAAAAATCCTCTCCAATGCTGTCAGTTGTCTTTTCATATCTCTGTGCTGTCTAGTCATCTAATTTCTTAGCCCTTCCAATTCTGACTTAGTATTTTCTTCATACCTTCTGTCCCTTTCTTAATTTTTAAGCTCATATTAAAAGATAATAGTTTTCATCTGCTTTGTGGCCTTATATATCTGCTGTGCTTTTATTGTCTATTAGGTTTTTCCTCTTGTCCTCTTTTACTTACAACATATTTCTGTGGCATTCAATCACAATCTTTTCAGTTTATCTTTAAGTGAGATGAATTTTCTTAAAGTTTTGGCAAGAGTTTCCCATGTAGGAGGTGGGGTGGGACAGAATATCTTTCTTAGCTTTGCAGCTATAGCGTTCTTTCCCCAGAGTCTTCTGTGATGTTTTAAATAATATGGTCTCTCAGTGTACACCTTCCATTTGTACTTTCTTTTTTTTTTTTTTAATTGCGGTAACATTGGTTTATGACATTATATAAATTTCAGGTGTACATCATTATATTTTGATTTCTGTATAGATTACATCATTTTCAGCACCCAAAGACTAATTGGTACTTTCTGATATCTGCTTCCTATAGTTCTTGCTCCACTCCAAGCCTAATTAAGGATGCTCTCTCTTCCAGAGAGCATCTGTGCTTGCTTCTACTTGGAGTCAGAGGATGCTACCAACCGCCTACTTTTGTCCATTTTGAGGGTCCTGCCTTTATGTGGCAGTCTCAGCATGAGCTCTCCAACTCTGGAGAGGGTCTAGAGCTTCATCTCTGATCCCAGCAGTGACAACGGCATTTGATTCCAGGATTTGTATTTTTGTACTGCTCAGAGTTTCAGCTCACTTTACTTTTTCCTTTCCTTTACTTAATTTTTTGTTTTCTGTTTATTAAATAATTTTCTCACTTTTGTTTCTGAATGAGAAACAATTATTTTTAATTATTGCATGAAAGATATTTTTGTTTTAATTTTACCAAGTTCTCATTTTATTTTACCAGGGGTCCTTTTCAGAGATATAATCTTCTACACTGCAGAAATGGAATCATCTTATCTTTGAATTTTATAAAAAGAATACATGGTCACTTATATTTCCTGGAGATTGTGTAGAATCATTTACCCTAAGTATTTCTCATTCCTGTGGTAAGCCCTTCTTAGAAGTGGATATTCCAGCTGCCCTTTGCTTGTAATATTTATTTCTTCTTTTTAAAAATCAATATTTATGTATAGATTCCATGTCAGTTTCTTTTTGATTCTGTCATATTTCAATAGCTATTTGCTCAAAATAGTGTGAGGAAGAACTGGGCAACAACCACCTTACAGTTGAGAATGTGCCTCAAATCCACATTCCCTTTAAAGCTCTTGTGTCCACACCCTTGAGGATAGGTCTCTGGTCAGTGTTTAGTGTCCTTCCTTCAAGTACAGCAAGTTATTAGGACAGCTTACAGTAACTGAGGTTTTCTGGTCACAACTTTTCTTTGTGGTGATTTAGGGACCACATGAAATAGAACTCTGATACAATAAGCATTCAAAAATATTTGCCAAAGAAATGCATAAGTGACTATTGAACTTCCTAATGGACTAGGAACAACACTGAGGTAATTCTATTTCCCACACAGCTGCTCCCCGCATCTGCTCTACCATCCGTTTCTTTTTCTTTTCTGATCTCCATTCTTACTGTGTAATTGATCATGTTATTTTCCATTGCTTAGAAGATAAACTTCCAACTCCTCGGCCTGACACATAATGGGAAGTTCTCTGATATTTTGTTCAGCATAGCAGAGTGGAAACTAAGAGGAGAAACTGGAGTTATTAAAAGCCTTGCCATGTCCCTGCTTTATGTTTAGGAAAGAGAGGTAAAGGACAGAAATAAATAGGTGCTGTCTCTGGTATTGTATCATATAGGCAGAGAAATGCTTATTGACTTTAGCACACAGAAGCACGCTACTCTAGAAAGGAGAGAAAAGCTTAGTGGTTCTTGTTTGAATTTCAATTCTCTATCCTGCCTGAGATAGCAAAAGACCAGAGATACATTTTTAGTGCAAGGAAGAAAACCTTAAAACTTTTCATGGATGATGTTTTGGACTGAATTGTGTCCCTCCAAAATTCACATGCTGAAGTCCTAACCCCAAATGTGATTGTGTTTGGGCATTGGGCCTGTAAGGGGGTAATTAATGTTAAATGAGATAATAAAAGTGGGGCCTTAATCCACTATGACTGGTGTCCTTATAAGAAGAGGAAGAGACACCAGGGATGTGCATGCTCAGAGGAAAGGCTATGTGAGGACACAGTGAGGAGGCGGCCATCTGTGAGCCAAGGAGAAAGGCCTCAGGAGAAACCAGACCTGCTGAAACTTTGATCTTGGACTTCTAGCCTCAGAACTGTGAGAAATGTCTGTTGTTGAAGCTACGCAGTCTGTGGTATTTAATAATAGCAGCCCTGGCAGATTAATACAGATTTTATGTGCAAATAATTGAGAGTTATGCTCAAACATATGACTTTAGATATATAAGTCACATGGACAGCCATAATCTACAACTGTCTTACTAGTTAATATACAAGAGATTGGTATCTCTGTTTTTTGTGAAAACTTCTTAGCACAACTAGGCACAAGAAGTTTATAGGAACAAGCATTCCAAAAGAAACTCAACATGGAAGGTCAATAAATATCAACAACTCACAAGAAAAAGTTCTTGGAGATACACAGCACATGGATGGTGGGAACAACAAATACAATTTAACACACTCTCACAAAGTTAGCACAACCAACCTAATTTACCTGGGAAAACTGTTTCAATAAATTCTTTAAATTCCTCTAATTTATTGTCATCCGTATCAGTCTTGATCTTGGCCTTCAGGATGTAAACATTGCCAAACTTGTTCTTGAGGTGCTGAGGGCTGCCAAGGCACACGAACTTTCCCTTTACCATGATGGCCAGCCTGGTACAGAGGGCATCACATTCCTCCATACTAGCAAAACAAGATACCAGAATGATGTAAGGCTAAAAACGTCTCCATTGGAAGACATTCTATAGTTCAAATATCCAGTATTTTGTGACTCTCTTTGAAATGGAAGGTTTCATTTGCCAATCATCAACATCATGGGAAATGGAGATATTTTCAAATTCAAAGTAGAAGAGAACGAAATTCTCAAATGGAACAGCTCCTGAACTTCCTATCCTCTCCTCTCAATGAGGATTCTTGGCCATTCCATTTATTAGGATTAAAGAGGAGCACACATGCTGAGGCAAGTTTACTGTCCAATATTCCTAGCCCCAAATAATGCCCCGCATAGCCATTGCAACTCTTCTAACACTTAATCTAGCTTCCCAATGAGCCACACCTGTGAGAGGTTATGATGATGACTTTGCCACTTTCACGTGTCTGTGACACTGTGTTCCAGAGCAGGCGACGGGCTACTGGGTCCATGCCAGTTGATGGCTCATCCAGGAAGATGACTGAGGGCTTTCCCATTAGAGCAATAGCAGTACTCAGTTTACGTTTGTTTCCTCCACTTCATAGTCAAGGAAGGAGAGAGAAAGCAGAAGCAGAGATGACTATACATCACAGTAATTTAATACATAAAACATCTGTTTAATACATATCCATTATTTACAGGAAATAATTTGCCTATTTCCAAAATGCTGAGTCATAGGAAACGGAGGTATTAAAAATACTGATTACACGTGACTCAAGGAGTTGAGCTTGGCACCAGATCCAAGCTGGCAGATCTGGATGCCAGATCCAGGCACTAGATCCTGGATGTAGTGGATCCAGGTACCAGATCCAAATCCAGATGTATAAATCAAGTCATTTTCATTTGAAATGTAGAAAGGTGACTTTTGTTTAGAAAATCAATTTCAGTCACATTAGCAGTGAAATTTAATTCTTATTCTTGAGGTTCCTCGGGATTCCCAGATACATAAACTACATAACGGCCAGGCCTATACAAAGAATCTCACATTGTCCTTACTTGGGAGGCAAAGAACAAAAGAGAGATAAGGAGAAAGATGTTCTCTTTTGTAATTCAACGGCTACAATTCCAAAAGAATCAGGATTGTGAGTTCATCTCTGCAAAGGAAGATGTGATACTATCTAGGTCTGCTTTATTGCTGATGTCTAAACACTGGCAGGGCATTAGGTTATTTTACAGTCAATGCCTCTCTTTGTCAGTGGGGCACCCATTCCAAAGAGCAGAAACACAGGGAGGGTCCTCAATATTAGCTGCAATGAGAGCACTAGGATAATATCTCACCTGTAAGTGTAGATAAACTTGTCAGCATGGGGTTCCAGATTCAGTGATTGCAACCAGTTATTCACATAACGGTTAATCTGAGTCTCAGGTATCCCCCACAACCTGGCATACATGATCATTATTTCCCGAGCAGTCATATAGTCTAGCAAGGCATCAAACTGTGGACAATAGCCAATTTTTGACCTCACCTAAAATAAGAGATTAACAATACACACAAGTCAACTATTTCACGGAGCATATAGTAAATATGGATAACATAGAAGACCTTAAGTTCTCCAGCCCATGATTCTAAGGTTAGAACCCACAGAGTTTTTGCAAAGAACTTTCCCCAGTGATCACAGAATCATTGTAGCTGTAAGCTATTATCGTGTATTAGAACCACAAGTGTGCAAAGGTATGTGACCAAGATAGATTTCTGTAACATCAAGTTATCTCCCTACATAAGCCCATAATCAATCTATGAAATAAATGGAAAATAATTTTAAAATAAAAGCAGTGCACCTATTTACAGAAACATATTCATCTGAAGAAGGAGAATGAGATAGAAAGAGTTTTGTCTACCATTGGCTCAACCTTTGCTCATTGTAAGCAATGAGCAAGTGGAAGTTCTGATGACGCTCAAAAGTAAAAGAGATCTAAATCAGTAGTGTGAATTCCAGTGTTAATAATGGATGGATATTGAAATTTGGGATCTTATTTTTCTCTGCTAAGTCTTCATTAGTTTAGTCACAAGGGAGGCCAAGATATCATAATCAAACATGGTCATAGAAGGAGAGGCTGGACAGCAGTACCCAGGTTAGGCTCAGTGACATCCTACTGTTCGGTAGTGGTGGTAAATGAATGGACTATAAGTGGAGCCCTCCATCTCTCTATTATATGCAACATGTCTTTATGAACATCATCGAAGATGTAGGTGAGCAGAATTGGGATCATAGCTCTTATTTCAGTCATATATTGGTCATAAGGGAAGTCTTAATGTATTATAAAAATTGTATAATATTCAGACAAAATATCTAACCAGAATTTAATTAAATTAAAAATCAACAATAAAACAATACATATTTTTAAAACCTCTATATTTTGCAAATTTAAAAATGAATTTCTAAGACTATACCTTTAATTCATGGGTTAAGAGGACTCAATACATCTTGCAAAATATTTTGAACAACGTGGGATGTAGTGCAAAGGCCACTTTAAACAACGAAGGGTAATAAATGAGTTAAATAAATGATTAAAATGTTAATTCTTAACATATAAAAAGAACACAGATTCAGGGGATTCTGGAAAGATGGCAGAGTAGGAAGCACCAGGAATTTATCTCCCCACCTAGACAACAATTGCACCGGCAGAATCTGTCTAATGAACTATTTTGGAACTCTGGAGTCTATTGAAAGCTTGCCAATTCCAGGGGAATATTTGGACTGTAAATTGTGGTCAATTTCAATTTCAGCTCTTAGCACACTAACATCTACCATCCTCCACCCCCAGCACCATGGCAGCATCTGTGCACATGTTTCTGGAGCAGCTTGCATATAGCTAGGGGGATTCAGGGTGGGCAAAAAGGATCTTGTCCTCCAAATATTGGGCATCTGTGCTTTGGTCACTTATTGCTGATTCTGATCACAGAGGTGCAGACATACAGGAAAGTATGGCCCATTTAAAGGAAAAAAATAAATCAAGAGACACTGTCCCCCAAAAAGACCTGATGGTAGATCTACTAGACAAAGACTTTAAAATCACTGTCTTAAGATGATCAAAGAATTAAATAAATAGGTGGATAAAGTCAAGAAAACAATGTATGAGCAAAATGGAAATATAAATAAAGAGATAGAAAACCTAAAGAGAAACTAAAAGAAATTGTGTAGCTGTTTAGTACAATAACTGAAATGAAAAATTCACTAGAAGGATTCAAAGGCAGATTTGAGTAAGCAGAAGAAAGAATCAGCAGATGAAAAGATAGGACAATGGAAATTATGGAGTCCATGAAACAAAAAGAAGAAAGGTTAAAGAAAAGTGGACAGAGCCTATGGGACCAGTGGAACACCATCAAGTAGACAAACATATGCATAATTAAAGTCCAAGAAGAAGAAGAGAGTGAGAAAGGGAAAGAGAGAACATTTGAAGAAATGATGGCTAAAAAATTCCCAAATTTGATGAAAGACATGAATATAAACATCCATGAAGCTTAATGGACTCCAAAAAAGATGAACTCAAAGAGACCCACACCAAGACACATTAAAATCAAACTTTCCAAAACCCAAGACAAAGAGAAAATCTTGAAAGCAGTAAAGAAGAAGAGATTCATCACATATAAGGGATTCTCAAAACATCATGAGCAGATTTCTCATCAGAAACTTTGAAGGTCAGAAGGCAATGGGCCAATATATTCAAAGTGCTAAAAGAAAAAAACTGTCAACAAAAATTCCTATATCTGGCAAAACTGCCCTGCAAAAGTGAATGCAAAGTTAAGACATCCCCAGGTGAACCAGAGCTGAGGGAGTTTGTTAATGCTAGGCCTGCCCTGCAAGAAATGTTAGAGGGAGTCCTGCAGGGTGAAATCAAAGGACACTAGAGTGTAACTCAGAGCAGCATGAAGAAATAAAGACCTCAATTGCAGTAAATAAATAGGCAATTATTGTTAATAAGAGCTAGTATTATTGTAACACAGGTTTGTACTTGACTTTTTCTACATGATTTAAGAGACTAATGCTTTTTTTAAATTACTAGCCTAATAATTACTATTATTGTAACTTTGGTTTGTAAATCCAGATTTTATTTTCTATATAATTTAAGAGACTAATTCATTTAAAAGAATTATTAGTTTATGTTTTTGGTCACACAATGTATAAAGATGTAATTTTAAATATAAAATTATATCTAAATTAGATCTAAAAGATATAATCACCATGGTAACTACAAAGAAAATAGCTATAGACTATGCACAAAAGGATACGAGAAAGGAATTTAAACATTTCATTACAAAAATCAACTAAACAGAAAAAGAGATCATAATGCAGGAAACGGGGGACAAAAAAGCTATAAGGCATATAGAAAAAATAGCAAAATGACATTAGAAAGTCCCTTCTTATTAGTAATTACTTTAAATATGTATGATTAAACTCTCCAGTCAAAAGACATAGACTGGCAGAATGGTTAAAAACACATGACCAACTGTATGATGTCTACAAAAGACTCACTTTAGATCCAAAAACATACATTGAAAGTAAAGGATGGAAAAAGATATTACATGTAGATAGTAACCAAAAAAGCAGGGTAGCTATACTAATATCAGACAAAATAGATTTTAAACAAAAAAAAAAAGATTACTAGAGACAAAGAAGGACGTGATATATTGACAAAAGTTGCAATGCAGCAAGGAGATAATACAATGATAAATATCTACGCACCTAACAACAGACCATAAGATATATGAAGCAAAAACTGACAGAATTGAAGGGAGAAATAGTTCTATGATATTAGTTGGATACTTCATTTTCGCACTCTCAGTAATGGATAGAACCACCAGACAGAAGATAAGTAAGAAAATCAAGGATTTAAAAAACAATTAACCAACTAGATTTAACAGACACATACAGAACAACAACAGCATACACATTCTTTTCAAACTCACATGGGACTTTTTCCAGGATAGAACATATGTTAGGCCATAAATTGTCTCTATAGGTTTAAAAAGATAGATATCATACCAAATACCTTCTCAACTGCAATAGGATGAAGTTAGAAGTCAATTACAAAAGTAGAACTGGAAAATTCACAAATTTGGGTAAATTAAAAAACACACTCTTAAACAAACAATGGCTCAAAGAAGAAACCACAAAGGACATTAGAAAAATACTTAGAGGTAAATGAAAATGAAAACAAAACATAACAAAACTTATAGGGCCCAGTGAAAGCAGTGCTAAAGGGCAAATTATAGCTTTAAACACTTACTTTAAAAAACAAGGAAGATCTCAAATCCACAATCTAACTTGACAACTCAAGGAAATAGAAAAAGAAGAAGAAACTAAACACAAAGCTAGAAGAAGGAAGGAAATAATAAAGATTAGAGCAGAGATAAATGAAATAGAGAACAGAAAAACAATAGAGAAAAATCAATGAAACTAAAGTTGGTTCTTTGCACAAGTCAACAAAATTAACAAATCTCTAGCTAAAAAGACTGAAAAAACAAGACTCAAATTACTAAAATCAGAAATGAAGAGGCAGAGTCAAGATGGCGGCGTAGGCAGCCTCTGAACTCACCTCCTCCCGTGGACACAGCCAATTTACAACTACTCGTGGAAAAATTACCCCAGAGACAGAACTGAAAACTGGGTAAGAAGAACTCCTGCAAAAACGGACAATCCTAACTGAGGTAGAAGAGGCAGAGACTCCCTTCCAGAGAGGAAAAACGCTGCCTTCACAAGCCGCCAGCTTCACGGCCGCCAGGAGCAGCTCACAGGTAGGCAGCCTCCCTGGAGGGGCGGGGCCCTGAGCCGGGGAGCGCCCCCGCTGTGGGCATTTTGTGGACCCAGCACAATCGAGA